CAATGTCCTCTTTGTTTGATGCTTGGAGTTAAATTTGCTGAGATAAAAAAGGAATTAGCCTTTATAGCAGCAACAGCAACAACAAGCAGGCATCCATTTTGCAATTTTCAATGGATGACATTCTGGAGTCTCATCCAGACATACTATCCAGACCAATGGTTAAAGATGGCTTTATAATACTGGCACTATATAGTCACAAACAAAGAACTTTACCAGAGAAAAGAAACTACATCACTTGGCGACTTTAAACAACAGTACAGCACCAACAAAAATAGCATGTAATGTTAAGAAGAGATAATGATATAATCAAGATGTTTACTTTCCACACTAATTCAAAGAAAAGATTTGGAAGGAAATATTAGAATGAGTGATAACAATGAGAAACCTATTTTCCTGTGTAATTATTTTAAAAGAGGCATTTTAAAATTACAACCTCTGAAATCATATAAGGAAACAGTTAATATTATCATTACTGGACGAGATGAAAAGGACAGGTACTGCACTAAGTAAAAATAAAAATGACCTGAGTATCACTGGCTGGTCAGTCAATGAATACAAACTGTTTAGGACACCTCGAGGTGGTGTTATGGTTAACAAGCTTGTCTTGCTAGAACAATTACAACTGAGTAGTGAGTTCAGAACTCACTAGATATAAACTGTTTAGGACACTCGAGGTAGTGTTTTCAGCCTTAGTATAACATGTAAACTACTATACTTTCAGCCTTGTGCCCATGTAAAATCTCTATGAATATAAACTGTTTAGGACATCGAGATGGTGTTATGGTTAACAAGCTTGTCGTACTAGAACAATTACAACTGAGTAGTGAGTTCAATCCTCACTAGATACCTCATACTTTCAGCCTTGTGCCACATCTAAGCTACACTTGGAAAATCTCTATGAACACAAACTGTTTCCTTATAAGAAAATGCTTAATATTGCTAATACCGTATGACACAAGTAAATGGACAAGATCATTTTACTGGGATTTGAAACTAAATAACAAAGTACTCATTGATAGTTATTTAAGTAATGGAATCAGCCAAAGTTTGTATAATTTTTTACTGCCTTTCAGCAATTTGTTTTATTAACTATTGCATATTAAGAACACATCATATAGAGTCCATAGTGAGATGTTTTCTCACTGATGTACAACTAGCTAGTCACTAAATTAACAAATTACTAGTAAAATAAAAACAAATTCAGATTAACCAACAAATTCTAAGCTGTCTGGCAAAGATTTACAAGAACCAGATCTTGCTTGAAGGTGTTTACAACCATGTCTGCATATTCTTTATAAAAGGAAGAAACCAGATGAATCATGCCTGCTTTACTTCTAGTAATGAATTAAAGTTTAAGGCTTTTTTATTTTTAATATTGCAGCCAACTAATAAACTTGCCTATTCAGGTAATTAATATATTAGTAAACTTGCATTAAATCTTGAATTTGTTTTAAAATTGCAAGTTACTATATTCTGTTGATTCATAAATAGTTATTGATTCTGTTTAGCAAATTTATTCTTCAAGAAATGAATCACAATTAAATTTTATTCAGTTATATATTCACCATTATTTGCAATGACTTATTATCATTTATCAAGCAGCTTTTTGATACATTTTGAATAACATTTTTCAGGTTTTGTTGTCAAAAAGTTTCAATAGACTCTTGAATCTGGTTTACATTATAGAAAGATTCCCTAAGTGTTTTGTTGCAATTGAAAAAGGTGATAATTGGTTGGTGCAATTTCAGGTGAACATAGTAGGTGGGGTAGAGCAGACCAACTAAGTTCCAAGATTTTCTTGTATTATTTTTGCTGTATGTAGCCTTGCATCGTCATGCATAAGAACAACATTTTTACTATTGAAAGCTCAGGGCACTTTTTAAATAAACTTTTATGGGCGCACTGCAACTGCAACATACATAAATGTGCATTTAATGTTTCATTGCATTTTAACAACTTGATTTCACTACATGCACACATTATCTTTCTTTCAGAGAGCTCAGATTTGGGGTTGCTTGTGGAGATAATCTTTATCAATCCACTGCTTTAGCACTGAACCTTGTCAGATTCAATCCATTTTTTATCACTTGTTATGATGTATTTAGGGAATTGTTTGTCATTACAGTTTTTGTTTTTTAAAGTATTTCACACAAGCAAGGAAGGAGTGCCACTAGCATGCAGGGGGGTACAGAGAGTAAGAGAAAAAACTTTTGAGGAAAGAATAAATAGAAGGACAGGGATCAAGATCAAGGCATCAGAAGATGTCGATTGACATTACATTTGAATATTTGAAGATTATAACTATCGGGGAAGCAAGTAAGTGGAAGGGAGTTCCACTGTTGGGAAGTGAGAGAGAAGAAGCTGTTGGAGTAGAATAGGCGGTTACATTTAACTATTTTGACAGTGAAATGGTGGAACTGAGATGCCAAACTTGTAGCATGCTTAAATTCATGTAATAGGGGTACCAATGATAGTAGCTCATCAGTGCAGTTGCCATGAAAATATTTGTAGAAAAACAAAAGGAAACCATATCACATTTGTGAGAAAGTTACTGTAGTCAAGATTCAGGGTCAGGACCTATTACATTGTATATCCATCTTTGGATTTTGTTGAGAAACTTGAGATGAACAGTGGGGGCATCAGACCATATATGGCAATAGTATTCAATGCAAGGACGAATTGTAGATTTGAAGGATGGAATCAGGGTTCCCAGAGATGAAAGTTAAACCTGACCAGGAGTACAACAAGCAGGTAATTAGAGCCCCAGTTTATTGAATCTTTTCCTAGACTATTCCCTGTGTGTTTACAAGCAGAGATGTGAAGAGATGGGCAATGGTTATTTAGGCTTTCCATACTACATCCCAAATTAATCTATGAAAAGAAAACAAAATTTACTTATTTCCTTCCTGTGGACAATGTACTGATGATGAGCTGGAGGGATATACTAACAGTAAAAGTATTCACAGTATGAATAAGAATAATCTTGACCAAAAAGTCCTCTACCAAATATTCCATGAAATAAGACTAAAGATAAACCTTTCTAAAACAGAAACTATGATCTGGAATTGGAATGAAAGCAGTAATGGTACCTACTCTGAATGTATCAGAAAAATTCAGAATGTAGATTTAGTAAATACCGAATACTTCAAATGCCTCAGTGTATGAATCAGATATAACAAATTTAGCATAGGAGATAAAGAAATTGATCATAGAATAGGTTGTGCTAGGGCTTCTTTCATACAACGCAACACTGCAAGTTGCTAGAAAAAAACAAAACATTAACATTAACCAAATTGAGACTTTAACATTTAGTACTCTGCATCATTTATAAATATTACTTCCTGTATATGGAATCCCATCAAAATTTAGTGTTTTATATATTAGTTCTATATATTCGAAATTGAGGTAGCCTGATTCTTAATTTCAGAGAAGATTGTTTTATGTATTGCCATAGAAATATATGACCACATAAACAAGAAATTCAAATTTAACCTTGGCAGGTCTAATATTTTACTTGATGAAAATAGTCATCTACAAAGTGCTAAAAGTTAATATGTATGTCAGGAATATCTATACTGTTAGCTGCATACAACCGCTTTCTAAGGATCAATAGTTTAAAATGGCTTTGAGGGAATGAAACCTGTAGTTTTCATGAAGGAAGTTGAGGACTAGGATGATACAATCACAAAGAACTGTACCAAAGAAAAGAAATTACATCACTGTAGTATTTGATAATAAACGAGTCAGTTGCATCGTGATGGGTTTAAATATACCTTTTATTAACAAACAATCATAAAAATTATATGTAGAATGAACTGTATTTTACAGCTTTTCTTAGCTAGCTGCTGCTGCTAATATTTTTATCCTGCTCACGTTTATTTCTCTTTCACTTGAGATACCTGACACTACATCTTCCCTTGATTTTTTTTTTTTATCTATCTCTATCTGTAAAAGGCAGGATGTGTGTGTGTGTAACATGCCGCTTTGTCTTCATTGGGTGAGGTCAGAGTTGGGGGTATACTGCAATCAGGGTGATGTGTCTGCTCTGCGTGATGGTCCCGCAGGAAGGTCGAAAACCACACTGGGACTCTGGCAGAACATCTTTGGTGAGGATGAGGAGATGGTCTAGGAGAATGCAGGCCAAGACCTTGCTGGCAATGCTTAGCAGTGATATTCCCTGGTAGTTGCTGCATTTCTCATGGTCTCCCTTTTTGAATATTGTCACAACTGTTGCATCGCGGAAGTCGCTGGGGAGGGTCTTTGTCTCCCAAATCTTCAATATAAAGAGCATGAGATGGTTCCTCATCCTGGGGCCACAGTGGGTGAGGAGATCCAGTAGGATGTTGTCAGGTCCTGGGGATTTGCCGGGTCTCATACATTTAAGGGCTTTGTTGAAGTCCTGGATGGAGGGTGGTAGTGCCATCCAGTGATGGACAGGATGCTGCGGGGTCATTCACAGGAGATTGTCTGGCATGTTGACCTGGTCGTTGAGGAGTTTCTCGAAGTGAGACCTCCACCTTGCCAAAATACCCTCACTGTCAGTGTTGGTTGTAGCCCCATCCACGTCCTTTAGTCTGCCCACTGATGAGCATGTGGGACCAAAAATTTCCTTGGTTGCCACATAAAAGCTGTGCAGGTCTCGTTGGTCAGTGTAGCTTTGTATTTCTGCTGCTTTTCTTTGCCACCCGGTGTTCTGGGCTTCTTGTATGCCTCTTTGGCAGTTAGCTATGGCTTGTTTATGAGCACGTTTATTGGTAGCTGTAGGCTGGTTCTCCATAGTCAGACATGTCTGATGTTTAGCTTCAATGAGAGGTGAGATGGACCCTTAACTCTCATTGAACCAGTCCTGTCTTTTCTTGTTTGAGTAGCTGATGGTTTCCTCCACTGCACAGGTCATGGCATCTCTGAGGGTGGTCCAGTGGTGCTCCACAGAGCCCTGATCCACTGGGTCTGCAAGGTGGCATTTGCAGGCTTCTCTAAAATTCTGCACCAGCTGTGGGATGCAGAGATTGCTACAGTCAAAGCGTCAGTGTCATATGCTGTCTGGTGTCCTTCTAGGTGGTTGAAGAGTTCTCATGGATAGTCTGGAGATCAGGAACCTGTGATCTGTCCAGCAGTCATCCACTCCTGGCATGGATCAGGTGATGCAGACGTCTCCCCTGTCTCTGGCTCTGGTTAGAACATAGTCCAGAATGTGCCAGTGTTTGAACCGGAGATGCCTCCATGTTGTCTTCTGTTGGTTCGGGAGTCTGAAAATAGTGTTGGTCACAACAAGTTCATGTTCCGCACAGAGAACCAGTAGGAGTTGACCATTGGTGTTACAGTTCCTGATACCGTGGTGGCCAATTATTCCCTCCCACAGGTGATGGTCCCTGCCTACTCGGGCATTAAAGTCACCAATGAGCTTGTCGTTGGTGGTCGCTCTCTGGATGGTATGGTCGAGCTGGGTGTAAAATTTGGCTTTGTCTTCATCAGGTGAGATCAGAGTCGGGGTGTATACTGCAATCAGAGTGATGTGTCTGCCCTGCATGATGGGAATGCGGACAGTCATTAAGTGCTCACTGATGGCCATGGGAGTGAGGACCGGATGGCAAAGCTAACGCCATGTATGCGTGGCTCCTCAGAGGCCTTCTCCTTCCAGAAGATGGTATAACCTGTTCCAGCTTCCCTGATGCTGCCCTCCTCGGGCAGTCTAGTCTTGCTGAGAGCCGCCACATCTATGTTGAATCAGGCAAGCACCTTGCAAACGAGGGCTGTGCGTCTTTCCGGGCAGGTAGTGTTTGCCATGTCTTGGAGGGTGAGGATGTTCCAAGCACCAAGGGTAAGGATATTTTTATTTTTGAGACAAAGGCTAGGTGAAGGAAAACTCTGATATAAAACCAACAAGACCCTAACGGCGGAGATTAGTAGTGATGGTGGAGGAAGGCAACACCTGTCGGGCAGGCAATAAGGTGGGCCTTGAGAAAATAAGAACCGGGCAGCCCGATGCAACCAGCATCATGGAGGTCGCCTGTCTCATTTCTCTTGAGCCATGGTGGAAGTGATGCTGGCTGAGTGTGTGTGTGTGGCTGTCGCAAGTGCTCACTGATGGCCATGGGAGTGAGGACCAGAGTGAGCACAGCCACGACCACCTAAAACAATATCCTCAGCAACAGGCATTCTGTCATTTCTTTTTCTTTTCTTTCTTTCACCTATTTTCATCCTTTCACCTCCATCATCACCACCCAAGTCCTATGGTGATAGCACCATGAGCAGGCTTGGAATGCTGGAAGCCTTCAGTCTGCAACTGCACACAGGTGGCAGGTCAAAGATGGTCACTTTTGGGTGACATTGCCGTGACACCTAAGTTTGGCAGCTGGATTCGTGACTGGGCTGGCCTATTGAGGACCACCACAGCCCACCCCACATGGGGAAGCCCTTGGAAAAGGTGAGGCAAACATCGAACATGGCGACACATCTGGCCAGTTTACCGCAGCTGGCAGACCTCTCTCTACTGCGGTCCCAACAATGCAAAAAGTTTAAACAAATGATACTGTAGATATAGTTCATAGTTTCCTTTTCCACAGTTTTGTCTGAATTTTCAATTGGTTGTCAAATCAGCAGTTCTGCCTTATTGGTCTGGCCAGAAATGTGGATGACTTTGTAGGTGAAATCTTGTAGATACAATAGCCATCTCACTACTCTTGCTGAAGGAGGCTTCAGGGAAGGTGATAGCACTTTTACTTGCACTTAGTAATCAATCAGGATCTGAAATTCATATCCAATGATGTACAGACTGAACTTTTTGCATACCCAGAATACTCCAAGCACTTCTCTTTCAAACTGAGAGTATTGAGACTGTTGGGCTGAACTTCTTACTGGCATAGTAGTATACCATGAATGGTACTTCATTTAGTCTCTTTAGTTTATCAAAGGTATATTGTTCCTCTTCTTCCCATTTTTAATCAACGTCTTGTCTCATAAGGTCCCAAAGTGGTGCAGTTATGCTAGCAAAATGGGGCACAAACTTAGCACAGAATTGGGCTAGTCCCAGAAAACTCCTTATTTGTGATGCATCATTTGATCGAGGAATATCAACTACAGCTTTTATTTTTTGTGTCAGAGACCTTCAAACCGTTTTGCATCAGAATGTGACCCATGTATCTTACAGATGTCATTTTAATCTGCCACTTCTGTCCATTGACAATCAATCCTCATTCAGCTACATGTTGGAAAACATTGGTGAGTTTAGTGTCATGCTCACTTTCTATCTTCCCAACTACTACAATGTTATCTGACATGTTGTATGCTCCTGGGCAGTCATCTATAACCTGACTTATGATTTAGTGAAATTTTTCTGAGGCCATATTTACCTCAAACATAAATCTTTAAATTTGTATAGCCCATCAGGTGCAGCAAATGTTGTAATTTCCCTGGAATCTCGATATAACTCTATTTGATGGTAGGCCATATTTAAATCTACTTTTGAGAAATATTTGCCTCCAGCCATTTCTTGTATTGTTTCCTCAACTGTAGGCACAGGATGATGTTCCTGAACAATAGCTTCATTAGCTCTGTGAATGTCAACACATATTCTGACATTGCTTTTTCCATTATCCTCAGGCTTTTTCTTCACTGTCACTAAGGGATTCACACATTGAGCAGGTTCCCTAACCCTCTCAATCACATCCAGATCAACCAGTTCTTGCAATTTGTTTAGGACACATTGCTTCTGCTTAAATGGTATTCAACATACTGATTGAGTGACAAGTATAATTTCTGGACTTATTTGGAATTTTATCAGTAATTTTTCAGTTTTTCCAATCTACTGAAAATCTTGAGGAATTTTGAATTTTAGTTTCATCTGTATATACCAGTTCTGAGCAGTTGAAGATATTGGCATTAATGGCAACACTTAAAAGTCCTAGTTACTAGTTCTTCTGCTTAAAAGTGATGCTTGGGCCTGAGAGATGACAAAAGATGGAACTATTATGTATTGATTTGTACTAGGAACTTCAACATTTAATATGCACTTACCTACAAGGAGAAGTGGTTGATCACTGGCATAGGGGTATAGTTTGGTAGAATCTGTTAATTTTGGGTCCATTTTCTATTTTCTTGCAGTCCTCTACAGATAGTATGCTGTACTCCTGAGTCTATCACTAAAGGAATGGTAGTATTGCTGATTTTGAGGTTTATTACATCTTCACGTATAAAAATTTTAAATAAATTAAACCCATCAGCACTTCTAGATTTATTATCTTCTTTTTCTCATACACTGCTGAATTCTTTTGTTAGGATATCTCTTCCATTCACCATGACTATATTTTGGGGCTCTGTCTTGTTCTTTTCTATTCTGCATTCTTGTAGAAACAACAAACATCAAAATGTTCCTTTTTTTCCACAAATTCCACAGTTGTGATGCTTGCTTTGAACACAGTCTCTTGAAAAATGTCCCTAACCTCCACACTTATAATATGAAGATGACAAATCTTGCCTTGTTTTAGACTTTTGTCTGTCATTTAACCTATTTATATCAGATGTACAAATAGATGCTAAAATTAAGGTTTCTCTGTTGTGGTATGTCCCAACAATTTGGATGAGACAATCCAACATCAAATTGTTTTCACCATATAATTTGGCTTTTAGTGCTACATCCTTTATTGAAGAAGGATTCTATCTCTGATGAAGTCATTCAGTTTTGGAATGAAACTACACACTTTCACCAAACTCTTTAAGTGAGTGATATAATTAATCATGGTTTCTCCATTGTTTGGTTCAGACTTCCAAAATTTTGAATGAGCTGTAGGGATATTTTCTTTTAGAGCAAAAGTTTTGTCAAACAGTTCTATAGCTTTTCAGAATATGTCTTTCTAAACTCTTTTGGTATTAGGCTTATGTTTGGCTTTTTGTTCATCCATGATGTTTTCCCAAATTTCACATGAACCTTCACTGCAAAAGTATGGCTCTTTATTGCTCAGCATTTGTGACACCTGAAGCTTTTATCAAAATTTCCAGATTGGTTTTCCAGTTTACCCATCTCTTATGTAACGATTCAGGGTCTCCAATCATATCTAAAACAAGTAGAGTTAGACCATCTAATGCAACCAATTTTGACATAACTGATATTTAATATAAGACAGTAGATGTGAGTAACAAAAAAGATTACTTATCTTTTGTTTTTTGACTCTTCTGTGTTGTGTTTTTTGGAAAAAAAAAAAGATTTTTTTTTTTTTTTTCAGATGGCATGTGAATTTTTTTTGTATTTCCTCATATTTTTCACACTTTTGTAGATGCCTTTCTTTTCTTTTTTTAATACAGAATTTATCTCATCCTCTTTGTCAGCTTGTAGTATTTGATAATAAACAAATCACTCGCATTGTGGTGGGTTTAAACATACCTTTTATTAACAAACAATTGTAACAATGATGTGTGGAATGAGCTGTATTGTTCTGGTTTCTGTTTTGCTACCTGCTACTAATGTCTTTATCCTGCTCATGTTTATTTCTCATTCACATGAGATACCTGACACTACACTCACTTGAGGACTATCAACAATGGCAACAATTAAATTGGATAACATATGTAACTTGAAGAGAAAATAATTACATAATCATGATGTTCAACACAACTTCAAAGATAAGTTTAGAAAGAAACAATGGAATACTGCTACCAAATCTGGGTTGGAGCTAACTAGTCTCCCCTTTCCAGTCTTGATAGAGTCCCAAAGTGTCTATGCAGCCTTGTGGATGGTTCGGTTTGGTTTGGTTTGGTTTATTTTGTTTTACAGCATATCAACCTCAATAGGTTATTGATGTGGACCCAAAGTTAGGACCACAGAAGGAAAACACGGAACACGGATTAGAGGTAAGAAAGATATATTAAACAAAAAGGTTACAAAGATAGTGCAAGCGGAGCTTACTATGTCCTAGTGTCCAATATTGGTAGTCGTACGCGGCTGATACTACGGTATTAGAATACTCTCTCTCTCTCTCTTTCCTTCTCTTCTCCTAGAATGTTATATCACATACTTTATATAGTCCTGGAAGAGGCAATGTTGTAGGTATGTTAGATCTCACAACAGTTATTTAATGCCAACAACATTTTTTATTGCTGGTAATATTTTGTTTTGTCAAAAATCTGTTTCTGGTAACATTTTTCCTTCAAAATTGTATTGTTGGTAATAATTTTTTTCAAAAAAAGTATTACTGGTAACAGTTAACTATTTTCCCATAGCTGGGACCCTAACTGGTGCTACCACCCTGGGTCAGGGTGGACCTGGGAATACCAGCAATTAAGAGATGGTTCTATGCCCCTCAAAACCTCCTGATCAGAGGCCTTTCTGCTGGATGTAGTTTATTGTCTTACCCAGGATGACCTTGTGGATGATAAATTATTTTACACAAAATATTTAGGTGAGCTACATTCCTTAGTCCCAACAAATCTAACCCTCAGCTAAGATTCATCACACCCCATACATTGGGATGAGCCACTCTCTTTTTCTTCATATTCTATTAATGAGAAGTAAGTTCCACTCAAACAGCTTCTTTCTATGAGCCACTACTTTGTGAAGCAAACTACAATCTGGGCCTGTTCAAGTCTAGGGATAGCCATTATCTTTTCCACATATCCTCATAAACTGAGCCTCATACCTTTAATTGCCCAGACAATAACCTCCTTCATTAACCCTCTACCTCAAGTGGATCTTGAGTCTTGTATAGGGTGAACACTATGAAAAAGAAAAAAAGTTTCCATCAATGGAAAAACCAATAACAACTACTGGTGATGAGAGACCTATTTTCCTGAAAAGTATTTTTTTATAAATTTCATTTGACAGTGACATTGGATACTTAGTCAGTGAATGCTGAATGTTTACTTATAAGGAAATGGCAAATATTGCCATTACCATCATGACTCAAGCCAATAACTAAACAATCACTTTATGATAAAAATAAATGTTAGATTTTTCATAAAATTTCTTCTTAAATGTATTAATATTTTGCTTTTTCTCAGTGAATATCTATTACATTTTCTTTGTAAATTGTCAATTCAGATTTTCATCAACATCAGTTGATAAATGAATTTATAACCTGAAAGAAAATACTTTCTGAATATTAATTTAGTTTTGTATCAAGCCATGTTTTTATACATAAAATTTAATCAACTCAGTAACACACATAAGCACATTGTATATGTATGTATAAGTAATTTTGTAATTTATGTATTCAGATTAACATAAAAGTCTATATAATTTACAACTATATTTATGCATGTTCTCAGTGTGTGTCTGTGTCTGTGTCATGACTGTCAGTGATTTTCAGACTTTGTATATGTTAGGTACTTAACATC